TGTGTGTGTGTGTGTGTGTGTTTTGAGTAGTGTTCATAAGGCTTGCCTTTTTTTATTAAATTAACTAAATATTTTTTCTTTAGTTAGTAAGGGAAGAAAAAACTGCACCAACAACTTAAGAATATAACCCCAAAAATAGAAAATCCAAAGTGCAAGGAGAGAGAGAGAGAGCTCAATTTGTTATCCTAGTCAATGATACAGAATAAGCTTAAGACAGATGTAGGTGACAAGCCAATTGGGAGATATCTTATCAGGAGACCCAAAGTAATATAGTCTTACAGCAAAAGAAATGCTTCAAGAATCATTTGAAATTTCAAGAGCCACTGAGACAGTGTTTGGCATGGCTTTTATTTTGGCTGCAAAGCATGGCTTTGTTTTATGCCATAGCAGATTCACCATAATCAGCAATGCCCCAGCATTTATGCAATGCTTCTGCCAAAAAAACTCATTTGGTAGAGACAATGTTGTCTAAGTCTACTACTTTTGGTTATTAAAGGTTTTGCTGCAATTAGGATGTGGCAACTCAGAAAATGCTCTGCTTTTTCACATTTCAAAGTTTCAATGTGCCACATCAGAGGGGGGTTGCTGCAACGTGCCATGCCCCCAAACTATGGAAACACTGAAAGGGTTTTTCTATAATCTCCTTATTTCCCTAAATGAAAATATGGGCATTTGCATTGTGTTTGTGCTTAAACAGGCATCAATAAACACATTTCTTGCTCATCTACTCTAAAATGCTGATCTAACAAGATTTAAACACCAATTCAGCTACGCTGATCACCCTCCTAAAGTATGAATTGCACTCCAATCCAGGAGTTACTGACCATAAAACCAACACTTCAAGCATCGTATGAAATCTCTCATTTTATTGTTTTGCCACAGCAACAAAAATCATAGATATAATTGACTAATTGAGACTGATGACAGACAAGTCCCATTATTCCCTATTAATATGATCTGATGGCCCAAACAAATGGAAAAGCAAATTCTCTCAAGCTCAAGAACGTCAAAATATCAAACCAATTAAAGACCAGGATACTCAATACATAATCTGGTCAACAATCACCAATTCCTGACATTATAAATATAGCCTAAACCACTTCAAAAGTGATTTGAAAGTACTTAGGTGGCAAAGATTTCAATTTAAGGGCATTTGTGGGTGGCAGCTTATCCACTTGTTTCTTTCTACTTCACCTTTGCCTTTTACTCCTTTTACCTACAATTACAGCATTTCATTTTCACCATTTAACCATGGATTGAGGGAAAATATATATCCTAGTCTAGAGAGTTATTAATAGATATGTGTAACCTCTCAGAACTTTCATGCATGCCAATTTTCAGGGTATTTGTGTTATTTAACACTGATGGTACATGTGTGGTGTTTTACTAACCACAGAGCCATTACATAGACATGTTTAGTTGCCACTCCATCTTTTTTTCCTTCAACTTTCTTTCATTGGCTATCCCAATCAAATTAGTCCTTAAAATTGAAAAACATTGATGAGTACCTAGGTGTCCATCTGAATCCCAATCTAATAATGAGTAAGCTGCACCACTTATCTTCCCTCTATACTTATGGTGAGACACTGATACATTACAATTTACAACTATGCATGACTTATGAGAATCATAAGTTCCCATTTTCTTCTCACCCAGCCATTGATGGACACTTTTATGGTGCGAGGTTGCAACTCGAGCTACAGGACACTTGGGAAGGGGGAGGAGGTGGCCAGTGAATAAGCAATCGAAAAAAATGGTGTATATGGACCATATGTCCTGGTGCCAGTTTCCACCCATCGGTTCCCTGCTTTTTGCTCTTTTGACCAGAATCATCCTGACAGACCATCGTGAGCATCAAATACGAAATAACTAAACTGAATCCCCCAGACCAGACGATTCTAATATGATTAGCTTTTGGATGTGAGAACCCCTTGAAGGTGGCTTACCTGCCCCACTCTAGGCTGGTGGCTTACCTGCCCCACTCTAGGCTGCTTACAGGAAGAAAAGAGATACTCCTATTTCGAAGTTAAAACACCATTTCAGCAATGCGGAAATCGAGATGACAAGCTCCATAGTTTTTAAGAAGAACATAAAGTAAAACCAAAGACGGATTTGATATTAATGGATGTCCAACAAAATAGAACAGTCAAGCATTGAATCTGCAACTTGAGCAATAGACGCAGCATCTAGTGCCATCGTGCCCGGAAAATCAATACCTTATATTTGGCCTAAAACGGGAATAATGTAGAATAAAATGGTGCAAACCATCTAAAAAATGAGTCAATTTAATAAACTAAAATAAAAAACTGATAAAATACAGCAATAACATGTCGTATAGAGCATCGTATATTAGCATCTAATAATATACACTTAAGACGAATTTATCGAAGTCTATTAAACTTCTAGGGAGAATAAAACCCTAAATGATCGATTTAGATATGAATAGAAACTTTCGGAGCAGCGAATAAGAGCATGAAGTAGGTTTAGTTAAAGAGACGGAGAAGAACTAACCTGCCACATGTTTCGAGAGCTCGATTCTTGCACGACCTCGTCATCTTCCAACTTCAATGGAGGATACTCTGTCCTCACATCCGGAAACCTCACGAAATCTGGCTTCTGTGCTTTGCTTTCTTCAACTATGTCGGTTGCTACTGAAACAACATTGGTTTCTTGCTTGGAAGGAGGAAATATAATACGAAACGCTGGAAATGTTGAAAACCATGGTCCTCGTGCTTTCTGTTTATCCTCTTCTTTGATTGTAACCGCTTTGTTTTCTTCACTCTCCGCCATTTCTGCAACTATTTCTCACGTCTCAACTCTCGACTGCAATTTGTTTCGACGGTGGCGGGCAAAAAGATCGCGGTGAAGTTTCTCGTTTTCTCCTGTTCTTTGTCCTCCGGTGGATTCTTCTTATCCTGAAGACTCGAAATGCCACCTGGTCCATTAAAAAAATGTAGTCATTGATTTAACATTGATTTCGCGTGGTGCTGTGATCGCCATAAAATCTTTTGACTACCGGCATATGTTGACGACGCGATGGTCACAGTGAAAAGATGGACCAATGCTATTCATTAGATTAGAATATTTTCCAACGGTCTCACTGTTACATGTGTTTGGTTTGGTTGATGACTCTATCGCTTTTTTGCTTTTTCTTTTTCTTCTTTTTTAAAGAAAGATTAATGACTCTTACAACCAAGAAACTAGCATAAGGTCCGAGTCCGATGTCAAATCCGAGTTAGGTTGGGTTTGGACCTGATTCGGGCTCGGAATTGATCAATTAGGCCATACTAAATTCAATATGAATGTTATATATGATTTACAAAAAAAAAGAGAATTTATAATTGAGCAAGGCTTGGGTTGGGATAAGATAGAGTGGGCTCAGACTGAGTTTGGGCTATCCAAGGGTTAGGYCTGCCTGAAAATTAAAAAAAAAAAAAACTAAATTTTGGGCTCAAATCTAGCCTGTGGATTAAAAATCTAAGCCCAACTCATAAAATTATAGATAGGATTTGGTCTTGTTCGGTTGGGTGTGGATGGGACCGGCTCTGTCCACACCCTAATATAGCGTGGACAGGTTCGTCCACACCCCAATTTCTCATCCATGGCAAAATCTTTTAGTTAGAGACCACACTTGATTTTTAATCCTCTACTTCACACTTTCCCATAAAAGCTACCCTACTGTTAGTTAACATAGTCTAGAAATGATCATTGTTCATCCTATGCCTCGGAGTGAAATGGCTATCCTCCTAAATGCCAAAAAAGATGATTTGACAACTATGGTCAAGGCCAGCCTGAAGTTGGCCTGTTAACCCTTTGTTCCATTATTCCATATGTTCTTTCTCTTTGTTTTCTTTATGATATATATTAGACTGTTACTGAAGGCGATTTTTCTTGTAATTCACYTAAAAATGCAAATAAATTAAAGAAGTAAGGAAAATAGGTAAAAAAATCCAATATATCATAAAAAATAGGGGTGCAACTTGGGTTGGATTGGGAATTTGTTAAATTTTCAATGGCCCTAAGCCTAGTAGTTCAAATTCTTCATATCACGCAACCCAATATGCACCCGTATAACAAAATTGCATCCAAAAGCCAGACATCCAATATCACCACTATGTCCTTGAATACTGCTACTAAGCAAGTATCCATTCATTAATGAAGGTTGAAAGTATTGAAGATATGGAGATAGCAATTTTGAATCTTAAACCATTAAGCATATTGCATACTTGCGTATGAAGACGAAAAACTAGACAAATGGAGAACAAGTAATTATGGAAACCCATTTGGCATTAAAAGCATGTTCGCTRTACCATCTGCAGTTAATGTGACACGACCATAACTTACCATTTCTCCTTCCTGCAACAAGACAATCGAAGTCATAAATATAGTGAGAAACTATCAATGAAATAAGGAAATTAACTTTGAGCGAGTTCTGAGTTAGGAAAGTTATGGAGTTAAAAGATATTTTGACATAGAAGAGCATATGTAGAAAAAGAAAAAAAGGAAAAAAAAAAAAACAAGAGGTACCTCTCCCTCGGGAGACATTGTTGTTTCATCGTGAGCATAATCGACGATGGCTAGAGTCCCTTTTCTTGTTCTTTGGCCTTCCAAAAGAGGGGAAGGTTGTAAAGGTGGCAATTGATTCAATGGTGAGGGTGGAAGTGATGTTTAGGGTTCCTGTGGCATTAAAGGTGCAACCCTATTGCTTTTCGGGGTGAAATCGTCGTTGGGGAGGGGAGGAACGGTTGGAACTTGAGGAGAAGAGACAAAAGTAAACATATCCTCTCAGGTCTCTTCGTCTTCCTTCGTGTCTTCATCCAAATCCTCCATGTCTTCGTCTTTGTTTGTACATCAACAATAGGGCAATACCTTTCGAGTTTTTAGCTCAGTAAGGAAGAAGAAGAAGATGGGGTGAAGCCTTGTATTCGCTATAGAGAAGAAGAGGAAAATACAATAAAACAAAAATGAAAAATATAGATACTAAAATGCATCTTGAATACTTTAAGTGAGATCAATATGCTTTTCAAAGGAGTTTGGTTGAGTTCTTCTCGATTGAAACTCCTTTGGTTGACTGACTACTCTTATACTAAAATCTTCGCCAAATCAAACCATAGACAAAAAATCATTGTCATAGATGAAGAAATCCCATGTGTTGGACAATGATCAAATAATGTAATTGTTCGTTCTTCTAACTCCTGTTTTTCATGTGTAGGATTTTCTTGGCCGGTAGGTGATGCAGAGTGGTATGGAGAATCAATATGCTATGCAAATATAATATTGAAGATAAAAAATGATAGAAACAATATTAAAAATAAAATATAATTCTCACTTACAAAAAGATGATGAAAATACTTTGAATACAACACACTCTTACAAACACTCGGAAGGAAAATTACAAATCTTACAAACACTTAGAAAAACACTCAAAGAATAAGACTACCAGTCTTATCGTTGGTACTCGAAGTTGTTGCACCCAAAAAATTTGCACCCTTGGGAACTGGGAGAAGGGTTCATTTTATAGAGGTTGGCGAGGATTCTAGAGAAAGGCAGAGAGGAACCACTTTATTCGAGCTTATCCWGAAGGCCTCTATGATTAAGATTCATTTTGGATTTTTCTTTTTAAGTATCTAAATAATTGAGATGTTTTCTTATCTTTTCTTTGATATGCCTTTTCATTAGTGGGTTACTTTTTACTATTGACGATAATAAATAATCTCTCAATAGTACTTTCTTCAATAATTGACCTTAGTGCGGGCTCAAAGACCAGATGCTTTATGTTTTCACATCCTTCGATATTTCCTTACTTTTGTCTTTCATCTTTTCTGCAAAACGAAGAGATATCTCTTCTAGCTCAAGTGGGTCTAAGTCTAGGAATTTGCTACGAAGTTTATCCATATGAGACTCAAATAGAGCTTAGAAAACTTCGTCTTCTTCTATAGAAGGCTTCAAAGTTGTTGACAGATCAATATGAACAGTAAAGGTGATCCAAAGTGGTATGGAGAATCAATATGCTATGCAGATATAATATTGAGGTTAAAAAATGATATAAACAATATTAAAAACGAAATATAATTCTCACTTACAAAAGACGATGAAAATACTTTGAATACAACACACTCTTACAAACACTCAAAAGGAAAATTACAAATCTTACAATCGCTCAGAAAAAACACTCAAAGCTGGTGATAGTAAAATTTTTGACAAAAGTAGCTTGGGGCGATTCCAATAAGTCCAAATTTATCTCTAAACCTAGGATGTTCAATTACTGGGATTACCAAGATGCTTGGTATAAGGTTTTTTTACTTCAAAACTTCATTTTCAGACACTCTTAGTTCATTAGGTTTTCCAGAGATTTTCAAGGTTCATATCCAGATTGGGCCTATGTTTGGTTGATTTCTTGGGGAGCATAAGATGATATCTTTCCTTGGTAAGAGCTTATAGACAAGTATAGAACTTTTAGGAAATGAATATCTTATATAGAATTCGTCCATATTAAACATTTTGAATTCTTCAAAACTTTTCGGCTCCCATGGATTCTGAAATGGTGTTATCATTTGGATGTTTCATGGATGCCTCCAGCGATTGATAGAATTATTGAGATCAAATGGTGGGACAAATTTGATCACTCGACAACCTTGAAGCCATCTACAGAAGAAGACAAAATCTTCCAAGCTCTCTTTGAGTCTCATATGGATAAACTTCGTAGCAAATTCCCATAACTGAACCAACTTGAGTTGGAAGAGATTTCTCTTCATTTTGTAGAAAAGATGAAAAAACAAGTAGGGAAATCTCGAAGGATGTGGAAACATAAAGCATCCGGTCTCTGAGCCCACACTAAGGTCAATTATTGAAGAAAGTACTATTAAGAGATTATTTCTTATCGTCAATAGTAAAAAGTAACCCACTAATGAGAAGGCATCTCCGACTGGTCCTAATAGGACAAAATAAAATATAAGAAAGCATCTCAATTATTTAGATGCTCAAAAGAAAAGTCCAAAAGGAATCTTAATCATAAAGGCCTTCAGGATAAGCTTGAATAAAGCGACTCCTCTCTGCTTTTCTCTAGAATCCTCAACAACCTCTATAAAAGAAACCCTTCCCCTAGTTCTCAAAGGTGCAACTTTTTTGGGTGCAACAACTTCGAGTACCAAAGACAAGACCAATAGTCTTATTCTTTGAGTGTTTTTCTAAGTGTTTGTAAGATTTGTAACTTTCCTTCTGAGTGTTTGTAAGAGTGTGATGTATTCAAAGTATTTTCATCATCTTTCTGTAAGTGAGAATTATATTTTGTTTTTAATATTTTTTGTATCGTTTTTTATCTTCAATATCATATCTGCATAGCATATTGATTCTCATACCACTTTGCATCACCTTTACTGTTCATCACCTCTACGAGTTTTGCTTATTCATCTAACTTCACGCTTTCTACAAGTCATCTTGTTCACTTAAAACTGAATCGTGGGAGTGAGAGAGGAAAAGAGGGACATAGAGAAGTAGAAAGATGGGACAATGAGAACAATAAGGTAGATAGGGGGAGTGGGAAGACAGGTAGAAGAAGGAAAAGCAAAAAGAGATAAGTGGTTAGATTGTTAGAGGGAAGAGACAAAGATAAATATTGACACTTGTCTCTTATGCAATGAAAAATATATCTCTTTTTTTTTTCATTGGGATTATTCACATGCAATTCATTGATCTAAAATAAATTATAGTGTATTATAATAAGATTTGAATTAGTGAAAGGAGAAAGCACCCCTTTCGCTTTATAAGATAAGATAAGATATATTAATCAATCAAAAAACACAACAATACTTCAACTTAGGGGGTGTTTTGTAGTGTGGTCGAGAAATTTGGTGGCATGGACCGATCCACACCACACCCTGTGGCACACACCACACCACAGACCACAGACCACAACTATTTTGAATTGTGGACAGGACYAGTCCAC